AATTTCTGGGAGGGGCCCGTTTATTGCGCGAAAAGGCTATACAGTGGGCTCAGAGCTATGGGTAACTTGCGAGCGCCGTTAAAAAATACCTGCAAGAAAAACCAATTGGCATAAAGTCACTGTGTTGCGTGTTTACTGGTAAAGAAGACGCAAATTGCTGTTCCACGCGTTCGTGATATCAATTTTGGCCCAACAGTTTCGGAGTTCAGGCCGTTAGAATCAACAACAAGCCTTGCATAATTAGTTTTAGGCCTTTTATTCTGCTTTTATTATCGCCATCAAACTGCACAACACCTCTCACCAAAGTATAAGCCCACCGAATAATTGTGGGCCACAATGCCTCCAAGGACTCCATCAAGACAGACGCCATTGGCTGGGACCGAGTGCAAAGACCGAGCGCAAAGACCAAGTGCGAATCGGAGAGCGGATTTCCTAATTCGTGGCAACGTGGCAATGCAGGACACAACTAACGTAAGGTTGAACAGTTCAAAATTCGGCAGCTCGGGTTCCACCGACTCCGATGACAGCAGCTCCGGTGGTAGCGGTTTCGATGAGAAGACTAAAGATGATGACAGACCTCAGATCATCAAGACAGCTCTAGTGAGAGCGACTAACGACAACGTCCCCAATAATGACGCTTCTTGTCACGGCAAGGATGACAGCAACAACGGTCCGTCTGCAGATTGTAATGAGAAGTTTGGGGTGAGATCTGGAGACACAACGACGATTACAGGGCCAGAAAACGGGATGATCGAGGACTCGATAAACCAACGCTAAAGTAAACAGCACAAGACAATGATTAGCAAGGAGGGGACTCGAAGTTAGTATCAGGTATCATGGACGTATCTTAGGCGCTACGAGTTGAAGTTGTGCTCGAATGTACATCAAGTAAAAAGCAAAGGTAGGCACCATGCGGGAATGTTCGGGCAGTAATGAAAACTCAGTTGGACCTGTTGTGGGACCCAATTTTTCGGAACCGTGAGATATGTGTCAAGTGAAGTGAAAGTCCAGGCAGTGCATGCTTGACTGGATATGGACGGGTCCTTCCGCAGACAATAATCCAAGCTCCGGATGTATTCCTCCACAAGCTCATTCGATCCCAAGCTCAGGCCTTTGATGAGTCGGTCAGCAGCCACGGTTTGGCGGACAAGTTCATTGGGTTGCGCCCAGCAAAGGATGCAATGCTCGGCGTTATCGATGGAATTGCCCATTGGGCTGAAGAGGCCCAACACAATTACCACAGCCAGCGCGTAGGAATACGCGAACCAACATGGGAGTGAACAAGGACATCCCTCTGCTGAGAGATCGTCAGGTATGGTGCTCAGATCCACTACGGGACAACCATCAGCGAACACCGAACCATGCCCGATTATGCAGCTACAACTTGAGGGGTCAACTTGACCGCAATTGTCAGTTGCTTCATCCGGACAAGCCAACAAGGCAGTCCTTCATTTATAGTCTTCTTAAGTTTTTGAATCAAAAAGAATTTCGACAGCAGTCAACACGATTGAACTCGTGCACAAACAGACAATCAAAACCGCGCAGGGACAATGTAAGCTTCGCCCCCGTCCAAGGTTTGCAAGGCACGCTGACCGATGCTAGTATCCCCGACCTTTTGACCAAAATGTGCGGGATCTAAAAGCAGGATGGATAATACCATCGCGAACAGAACTTATTGCCATCTCGTTCTTCCACTCTTCGGACACGAAATCATCGCACTGCTCTGTGGAGTGGTGTACGGACTATGGATCGGATTAGGCATCATTGTCGCGAGAACAACCTCGATGAACTCGGGACCTGCATGTGGTTCGCGTCTGAATACTTGTTCTATAACGAGTCCATCGAATTTGAGCGAATATCCCTGCTACCGCGATCACTGATGCTGCGTTCGTCCAGACCGATACCATAAAGACGTCCAAGACGACGCGAGGCTGCTAGGAGGTGCAGAGTTCATAATATGGCACACAACATGGGCTTGGAACAAAGCGAGTGAACAAAGAAAACAACTTTTCTGTGTCCGCTGATGATGACAAGGGGTTGCGGATCAAGTCCGCCGGCCTCGGCCGTGTGGAATTGAGCCTCTGTGGTCCTATGCATACCTGTATTGATTGTGGGGAGTGGATGCAGATTCAGGCAGATTCAGGTTCTGAGGGATCCGCGTTCAGTGCTGTGTGGACTTTTTGTATGTAGTCGAGCTAAACCGAAAGTGGTACCAGAACGGCATATCTTGCATGCCAAGCTTCCGGCTGGTGACCCTGACACAGCCCACGGCACTGCAGCGAACGGTGATGTTTCTCTCGTCTAATATTGTAACCAAAATCGGCATTCAAATGACAAACAATTGCAGCACAAAACAGAGTCAGGAAATGTCGTTATTGTGAATTTGTAATCTGGGGATTGGTAATTCGTTCTTGATGTAAGCCCGCGGGATTGACTGAGTTCATGTTCAGTTTTCAGAGTAAAAGACAACAAGTGGATAGTCTATATAAAATCCCAGAGTTGACCATGGAAAACAATCATCCAAACAGACGCCGATTCCGAGCTCTGCAGAAAGAGTTCTTCTTCCGAGATCATGTCCAAGTCCAACACAAAGCCAAATCACGAGCCTGCGTCTGAGCAAATCATGGCTTCATCCTCAAGCGACGATGACAATACCACGCCCACCCCTGAGAAGAAGACCACCGGCACCCGCCCAACACTAAAATCCAAGCTGCAGAAGCCCATCCGATTCCACCTCGCCTTCTTATCCCTCCTCATAATGGTCTTTATCGTCAGTCTAGATGCCACAGCCCTGGCAGTAGCCATTCCTGTAAGCTTTTTTCTCCAGTACCATGACCTTTTTTCTTTTTTGTGTGTGTTGGCCTGGTACTAACTCAGTGCCCATCACTTCAGAAAATAACATTCAACCTCTCCGGCACGAGCCTCCAAGCCTTCTGGGCCAACATCTCCTTCCTCCTGACCGTCACCATCGTCCAGCCAATCTACACTTCGACTTCGGACATACTGGGCCGAAAATTGCCGCTCTACGTCGCCTTCTTCTTATTCTCCCTCGGCAGCATCGTGTTCGCTCTCGCGCCCTCGCTGCCCGTCGTCATCCTGGGCAGAGCAATCCAGGGCCTGGGCGGCGGGGGCATCGACGTGCTCAACGAAGTGATAGTGGCCGACATCACCACGCTGAGGGAGAGGGCGTTTTACATTGGTTTACTGTCCGTCCCCATGGCGCTGGGGACGATAGTGGGTCCCGTCTTAGGTGCCGTCTTCAGTGAGTACGCGAGTTGGCGGTGGATCGGGTGGGTGAACCTCCCGCTGGTTGGGATATGTCTGCCGCTTACCGTTTGGTGTTTGCGGCTGAAACCAATGGAGGGCGGGGTGAGAGAGAGACTAAAAAAGGTGGACTGGATGGGCATAGCGGTATTTACGGTTGGCGCTACGCTTGTCACGTTGCCTGTCAGCTGGGCGGGGAGCATGTACGCTTGGGGCTCGTGGAGGACGGTGGTTCCTCTGGTGATTGGCGTTGCGGTTCTGGGAGGGTTTGTTTGGTTTGAGGGGAGGAGGAACCGGGCCGTCGAGCCAATGTTCCCTTATCGGATTTTTGCCAACAGAACGGCGGTGGCGACGCTGGTGGGCAGTTTTGTCCACGGGATGGTGTTGTATACGCTTTTGTCGTACTTGCCTTTGTTCTTTCAGGCTGTGTTTCTGGAGGCTCGGTTGGAGAGCGCGGTCACCATGATTCCGTTTTGTGCGGTTTTGATGGCGTTTACGGGAATTTCGGCCATGGGTGTTGAGTGGACGAGACGGTATCTCTGGTTGATCTGGTCCGGATGGGTTTTGTTGACTATTGGTGTTGGCTTGTTTGGTCTCTGGGACGTCGAGCAAAGTAGCCTGGGGAAGACTGTTGGGATTCAAGTGGTGGCGGCTGTTGGATTAGGGACATTATTTACTGTGCCTCCTATCCCCATGCAGGCAAGTACCAAGCGGTCTGAGGATCAGGGACTCGCTGTGGGGATTCTGGTTGCCTTCCGGCTGTTTGGGGCACTGCTTGGACTGGCTATTGCGGCTACGGCTTTCAGCAGTCAGTTCTCGCAGCTTATTATCACGCTCTCCCCGTTGCCTGAAGCTGCCAAGATTCTCGAGGACCCAAATGAGACGCTTGGCTTTATTCCTTACCTGAGGGACCTAGATTTACCCTCAGATAAGTTGGTTGAGATCCGCGAGGTATATGCCAAGTCTCTGAGGGTTGTGTTTTACATCTTGGCTGGTTTTGGTGGTATTGGCACCTTTGCTTCCCTTTTCACCAAGGAACTGAATATCGAGTCAGAGGAGGAGGGAAGACAAGGCTTCGATGTTTGAGTCTTTTAGTTTCAGGTTTCTCACACAGGTTTCCTATGTCTACCTCATTCTGTCTGGGAATATACTGTGGTAATGTCCCACCAGACTCGAACAGAAGAGCAAACAGGCTTGAAGGAGATTAAGACATCAACATGCTTGGTCATCTCATTGCGGTGTTGGATCGGGCTCAGAGCTTCGGGGTCGACGGCATCGTGCCGGAGGAGACATGCTAGACTACATTAGTGACAGGATGTCGCAATAAATCCATCTTTGGCGTTTTTCGTCAAGTTCGTTGACCTGAAGCAAAGGTGCTTGATTCCATTCCAGTGCTTCAACTATGCCTATGTCCTGTGAATCACCTCCCCCACCGTTCAAAGCTCAACTTTGCGGAAACCGATCTTTCCCCTGATGTTCTGGGTTCGCTTGCCGGATGTGATGGAGAACGGGTCTCCCCAGCCACGTCTTGGATTGGCGACCTCAAGAGATTTCGATCAAGGAGAAGAAGTAGAATCACCTTGAGGCTGAATAAATCTAATTATCCGTTCTTGTCACCTGATTTGCGTTCTCAAAAGTAAAGCGTGGGGGTTAGATGAATCAAAATAAAAATGAGAATGGCTCCTGTGCAGTGGAGAATCATGACTCGCGCGTTCAGCGGCAAAAGGGAAGGAGAATGCCCAGTAACAGGATTGAACTGTTGACCTTCGCATTGCAATGCAAGTTAACTAATTATATCCCATAAGAATGATATTAGTACGACGCTCTAACCAGCTGAGCTAACCGGGCTTTGTGTATTTGTTGGGGATGTCATTGCTGGACCTACCCTATCAAGGCCAGGCAGCAACTGCATTCCGATTTCCCGCGCACACTGAACCCAGTCTGATTTAATACATTTCATTCAACACTGCCACGCGTAACTGCTACTCTATTCATGTATCACGGGGCAATGGGGCCATCAAGAACACTTTCAGGCAGCCCATCAAGATCACACAGGAATAAAGGGCGTCCAAGCATAGAAATCTGACAAGAGAAAACGCTGGAGATGGAATTGATTCATCAGGACTAGTCGTTTCATTCAATGTTTTTTGGCGGTTCTTTAATATCTCTATCCAGTTGATTGCCTACACAGTTGCCCCTGGTGTCCTGATCCTACCAGAACCTGCACGGCATGTATGCTTTGGTCCCCCTTTTGACACCACGACAACAACGATTGCATGGTTTTAGGCAGATACCGTGGGTGGCATCTCATTATTAATCAGTTAGGGATCGCGGCTCTGCTGGCGATCAAGCTTCCAACAACTGTCAGTGAAAGCAATGGAGAAATGATGTATGAGATCTGGTGGGTTTAAACGTCAGTAAGTGGAACGTGGGCGACACAAAAGGAAAGGGAACATACCGTAAGCAGTCTAGCAATCTTCGCCTCATCGTCCTTGGACACATCGCTGACTTGAACCAGGCTGATCAGCTTCATGGCGCTCGGACCACTTGGCATCAACATCATGGTGAACCACAAAATTGGGTCAGACCCAAGCCATCCGGTCTTTGCGGCGAGGAAATATATCGATGCGATGGAAGCCAAAGGCCAAATAACGAACCGGACAACCAGAATGAAGAGCACCGTCAACCACGGCAGACGTACTGATTTCTGGTTACTCTTCCTAGCCTCCATGGAGGAATCGAACAGCGAGACACCGGTAACCAGAACAGGAAGAGGCACAAAAAGACCGCCAATGTTCTTGAGAGCCTGCGTCAACCATGCCGTGAAGATACCGCCATCGTTGGAGGGATTGAAGAAGGCGCGGTGGAGGAAGGGCGTCAGGCCAATGATGGTTCCAATGATGGCGCCAACGAGCGGAGGGTTGAAGAAGTCAGAGATGAACTCGATCCACCATTGAGTCCTAGAACTGAGGTTATCCCAAGTGTTCTCGGGTACAAGAGGTGGTCGTCTGTGCTTGGGAGCGCGTGGAGCTCCTGGATGATGCTGGTTGTGCATAAGGAGGTGGCTCTCCTCATCTGCTTGTTCGTCTGGTGTTGAGCAGCGTTCGTCGCTATTATCGTCCGAGTCCGCTGTCTTGTCCTCGTCATCATCGTCTGGGCCGTTCTCGGTGTCGATGAGGCGCGGTCCGACGGCGAAGGTGATGCAATTCGATATGGTAGAAAACACGAGGAAGTATGCCTTGGCTCTCTCCACAGCTTCTTTGGTAGTCTCGTCCTTGATGATAAGTGAACTCAAGATGCCAGTCTCTTCAAGAGCGGTGATCAGTAGCAGAGGGTAGCTGGTGGTGTTGTTGATCAGAATAGCGACGGTGGTCCAATCGGGCATCCCTAGCACGCGATGGGCGAAGGTGCCGATCAGGAAAGAGATGGCATGACAGATGAGACCCCAGATGACTATCACGCCGTAATTGCTTGCTGAACCGGACTGCAATTCCGACCCGATCTTGGTGATGAGAAGGGCAGGCAAAAACAATCGAACGCAGACTTTGGAGATTGGTTTCGATGATTTTCTGTCGAGCAATCCAAGCCAACAAGCGACAGCGCCGTAGGATATCACGAGAAGCACTGACAAGCTCGCCTGAATGGCGCCCAGGAAGGCTTCAAGAAGCCCGGACGGGGCCATGGTTTCGGGTGATCGACGTTGTGGTGTGCTTATGTGCAGGAATCAGAGACAGTTGTTTTGGGAAAAATCGGAAAGGGAAAGATGTCTCGTGGGTCGAGAACTTCAAGGTGTTTGTTTACCCTAGTTCCTGCCTTGGACGGCCTCAATGATGCAGTATGACGCTGTGGCTCCCAGGTTCACTGTTTCAGGTAGTGTGGTGCCCTATGATTGGTGGCGTGAGGTGGGGTTTCGGATGCACAACGTTGTGCGACACAGTCTCAGCAGGCACAACAAATGGACACGGGACAACCAGAGCAACACTGGAAGGGTCATAGACTTGCGCAGACTCTTTGTAGATACGAAATGAATTATTGTAGGAACAGATTATATATTTTTTTATTTGAAAATTTAGAAAATCATGTCAATTGTCATCGGATACGGAGTGCCAAGCCCATGACATCATGACAAGACCAGAAAGCCAAGAAGGAGAATCCACCCAAAAGCACTCAAAAAGACTTTTGGAACCGAAGACGAAAACCAAGAGAGGCAGGGAAAAGGATCCCAAAAACAGACTCCCCATTAGCGAGCCTCTTTCTCGGCCTTCCTCAGAGCCCTCTTCAGCACCACCTGGACAGTCTCACTACCGTTCGCACCAGTATGCGAATCAAAAGCGCTCCAGACCTCGGCGAGTGTCTTTCGCTGTAGCTCCTTGTTGTCGAACTTCAAGCTCTCCTCAACCCCCCTAGTTAGATCCGCTAGCCTCGGCTCACCTTTTATGCTGGTCGTATCGATGCACCTCGTCGCGCCATCAAGCTCGTTGATCAGCGTCTTGACATTGGCCAACCAATCGCTCATGCTGTTCCTTGCGGATTGCAAAAGATCAAGGAGCGCCCCATCGGTGCCTTCTTGGGAATCGAAGACGAGCCCAAAATGCGAGGTTAGACGGAGCTGATTGACGATAAGACCGACGAGCCCGGCTTCCTTGATCTCGGTTCCCAAGTGCTTGGAAATTCCCGGGATCCTTTGGAGATCTACTTGGCGGAGCAGTTCGACAAATGCATCATCCAAAGGGACGAGAGGAGCCTTCGTGCTGCGGTAGCGCGGATCACTGTGGTCGTTAAATGCCTGATCGATGAGAGAAAAGAGGTAGATGGCATCGTCCCTGGGGTGTTTGGCAGCATCGATCTTCATGCGGATCTGGAATCTGGTGTCCTTTTCCCGCACGTAGTGATGTCGAATCCCAGGCAGAGTAGCGGCTGACTTTGTTATGGTGCCAGCTAGCCGCCGCATCATAAAGACACTTAGAAACTTGTGGAGCTTGAGCAGCGAGATGATGAAGCCCTCATGCTGGCCTCTGCTCCATTTACGCCACCTACTGGGAATGTCGTAGTCGTGCCCCATCACCTCTTCTAGGAACTCGGCCAGAATCTCCCACTGGATGCACCGGTAATAGGTATCAGCGATGAGGCCCGAGGTGGTGCGATCATAGATGTCAAGTTGCTTCTCCCGGGTAGCGTCCGGGTGCATCTTGCCCTCCGAGTCCAAGGCGTGCTCTGGTGCGTGTGCGTAGTACTCCAGAGCCCACCTGACGAAATACTCGGGCTGATGCCGAAGGTTCCAAAGACGACGGCGGGATTCCCCGAGCTTTCGTTGGGCCAGGTATAGAATTTGGCGGACCGGATAAGGCTCACCTTTGTACTGTATGTGGATGGCCAGCCGCGAATGCGTCTCCAGATTAAGCCCGTCGTAATAGGCAGGAGGTCCAGAGACCTCATCTTCCGACTTGGGATTTTGATTCATGATTTGAATGAATTTGGTAACGCCGCGGGCAATTCGAGCTTGGATCTCCATGACGAGAACACCGTCGTTAACGGTGAGCGCGTGCCCGGCTACTTCGTCGCTTTCGGCAAACTCTTTTAGGTACGTTCCCTCGAGGATTTCCCCGTACGAACTCTCCTCTGCTGTCGGCGCGGCCATGCTGATAGATCCCAGGAACAGGTGTGGGAACATCACACCCTTACCAAGCCTTGCAACTCTAGCCCGCTCTAGGTCACCGTGGACAAAATCCACCCGATCATACGTGGCCCGTTCCTTCACTAGCATGAGCATGTTTTCCCTAAGGACCAAATCCTCGAGATTGATTTGAGGGGTAAGATAGCTCTCTGATGGGATGTCCGCAACGTCCGTAATGCGTAGCCGTCGCTCCGCCTCGATCTTGGGGGCGTCATAGACGTCGATACGATGGCGAGGCGCAATATCAGGCCACGCCTGAAGAAGGATGTCGTAACGCGACTTGATATTCAGCGATTGCCATTTGTCGACGAGACTCTCCCTCCAGGCAGCGACCTTGTACGCCTCTGCTAGACCCCTGTAGGCAGCATTTACGTACTTTGTGTTGGCCACAAAGTCTTGGTACTCCTCATTTAAAAGGCCGAAAGATGTTGAGGTCGACCCGGGATCTGCGAGACCAAAAGCGTCCCTGAGCGCCTTTGGATTCTTGACTGACATGGCCAGGAGCACCGTGTAGACGAACTTGTCCCTCGCTCGCCACTGACGAAAGTCGTTGGGGAGTCCGGGCTCGGAGACTATGTGGGACAGATTGAGACGCTTCAACTCGGCCTCTCGGGCCGCTTGGTTGGTCCAGTCCACCTCGGGGCCCTCGTCATTGATGGTGAGGGCTTCGATACGCATCATCAGGTCCTCCACCAAGGTAACATCGCCAAAGTCAGACATTATTGTTGTTGATGTCTTTTGAATGAGGTGACTTTCTGTGATAGAGCTGGTTGTTTCTGATGGAGTTGCTGTTCCTGATGAGGTATGTATGTGATGATTTGCTGTTGGTGATGGGTCAGATGTTGGTTCGGGTGCGAATAGGCCTCATTAAATATTAAAATTTCCTCGCAGCCTCATGAACCTGCTCGTGGTGTTGAGGCTGAAGCCGCGGCAGAGCATCAAGATGAACAAAGGAGCAGAGTGTCTTGACAAAAAGGGTCCGGCAGGTATTGAGGGCGGGAAGCGTCTTTGTGCATTCTCGATTGAAGACGGGAACAATGGACTTGTTTACCGTAGAGATATTCTGGGATGGGACAGGGGCAGACAAAGACATTGAGGCTACAGACATAGAAAGTGGGAATTGAATAATAACTTGACTTGACGGGATAGTTCGTATAATGAGAAAGGTCAAACG